AAATTAAATGTCATTTTACAACATAAAATAGTCGAGTTGTCCAATTGCAAGAAATAAAAATAGGATGCCTTCTTTACCTATTCAAAATAAATTGGGTAAGTTCGAAGGGAAAAAAAAATATTAATTGAGTAGATAGTGCAAGAATTATAATAAAATTTGTTCGTAATGTTTTTATTTTTGAATTTTCTATGAAATTTTCAGACCTTTCAATCTTAACAAGGAGAGAATTTGAAACCTTTATGTAATGAAATTTCTGCAAATTTAAGAGGGGAAATCTTTTCGGGACGAAACCCAGGTGCCCTACCATAAAAACAGAAGAAAACAATGTGGGGAAGATGATTGTTGAGAAATCAAGGGATGGGATTGAAGCCCAACTGCCCACCTTCCCCAAAAATTCTATTTTGCAGGGAACTCTTTCGAGCAAAGTGCACTGATCAGAGCACAACGCCGATACACACAATCCCTGCTCGATGCGAACCGAACCAAAACAATTTAAACCTAGCAACAACCAAGAAGAAGAAGATGAACAAAAGGGGAGAAAATATAGGCTGCGTCTGTTCTGTGTGGTGTGTGTCCATTTATAGGAGGCGAGTTAGGGTTTTTGGTGTGATCTGTAATTACTAGCATGCCCCTCTTTGATAAATGGATCTCCGGTTTGGGTCATAAGCAGACCAGAGAGAGCAGCACACTCTTTTAAATTTTAATGCTTCTGCTCGGCCCATTAAATCACTGTATATCTAGCAGGCACAGGCGGTTTGGGGGTTAGGATAATGTAACAAAAAATGTAATTATTTATTATATCTTTATATTATATATTTTTTTTAAATTTATATATATTTTTATTTTTTAATAAATTAAAAAATATAATAATCAATTAAAATAAAAAAATATGATGTTAATAATTAAAAATATGACAATAACATTACCAGCCATAACCCCTAGTATAAGTTATTAAAATTGTCAATGCAACTTCTATTGGTCAACATTAATAAATGCATACAAAGATGCACATAATTGGAATGTTTTAATATTAAAAAAAAATATTAGGATGCACCAAGGTTTGGGTGTGGTGACTTGATAATTATATGTTTTGTTGTAAATGTACATCTCCAACCGTAGGATTGAAGTTCAAATTCTCCACTTCAAAATTATAATTCGTTCCAAAAAAATTACTAAGATGTTTAATTAAAATGACATAATAAATAAAATAGAAAGTAAGTCTTATTTAAGTTAAAATTAGAATTGAATATTTTAATATTTTTAATGTAAGGAGATTTTAATTTTTAATTTTTTTAAGTGCATATTAATTTACACCTTATCTCAAATAAAAAGATATAATAATACCATCTATGATAGAGTTTATGGGGTTCTAGGAGATTACCTTCTTTTATGCATGATTAACTGGTTGCATTGTAGAATTTTAAATCACTGATTTTAATATATCAGTGTTTTTTTTAGTTAAAACCCGGCTAAATTCTTCTTGGCAAAAACACTATTCATCATATCATACTATATTCATCATGTCATTTGAGTAGATATGCATAGACATAACATACGGTACTTTTGAAAACCAAACTCGAGAGAAGCAAATCAACAGAGACTGGAGAATGAATGAATCCACAAAAATTACAGAAACAGAAGGGGATAGGAGCGAACCGGGTCTGAGGCCAAATGGTTCGCCCCCAATCCTTAGGGTTTGGGTGAGGCGGAGGTTAAGGCTTGGAGCTCCTGCCACCGCTGTGAATTCCATCAACTTGCGGTTTAATGATCGTGCGTCTCATTTGAGAGGTGAGATGTTCACCATTCTGAGTATCCCAGTTG